AGATCTCTCTCGCTCTCTCTCTCTCTCTCTCTCTCTCTCTCCAGAAGGATATCTCACTGGAAAAAAGAACTGAATGTTAACCTCAAAAGAAGCAAAAATAACAACCTAACACCTGCACATGGAAAAGGAACATCTCTCTCTCTCTCTCATCACACACACGAAAAGGAACCCCCCCCCCCCTCTCTCCCCCCAACCAAAACAAAAAAAAACCAAGCTAGACGCTATCCAAAAGGATATCTAATTGGTAAAAAAGAACCAAATACTGGCCCCAAAACATGAAAAAACCCGCACACACGAAAGAAACACCTCTCTCTCGATATACTCCCACCCATCCAAAAAAATAAAACACATGCAGAGCAGTTAACATGAAGAGGTGTGCATACCCTTGATTTGCCAGTAAACTTGTCCAATAATAAACGGACAGCCTTTATGCCACCACAATCACTGAAGAACTGCCTCAGATTTTCTTCTGTTGCCTATAAGAACAACATTGCATTAGTCTTTTTCGTCAATATATTATCTTAATAATAATCGCTGAATGCACTATTGAATATAACAAGGAAAATTCAGATCACATTGACTCATGATAGAGGAGCTCATTTTGTTGGTAAGTAAGTGGGGATTTAAACTTTGGATGACAAGATGGCCCTTATCCCTTAAGTACCAAGCTAAGAGGCTACACTCAACTCACAAGAGAGACACCCAGTTAAAGACAAAAGGTATAAAGAAATGCAATGCACTGGTCAGTGTAGTGGTGGAGAGAGAAACCAACCTGAAGATTAAGATTAGAAATGAATGCAGTGCATTGGTCAGTGTAGAGGCTCTTCTTAGATTTATCGCCTTTTTGTTCTCTTGCCAGTTGTTCTTTTGCAATTCCTTCGGGTGAAACGCCTTTGGAAATCGAGGAAGACTCCGGTTTATTGGTGGGTCCCGTATCTTGATGTCCATCTCCTTTGGACGCTCTACCTGTTGCATCTTTGTGCCGCTTTGAATAAGGCTCCTTATCAGCAAATCCAATACCTGGTTTCCTTTTCTTTGCATCATCTGGTTTCCTTTTCTTTGCATCATGCCCACCACTTCTCTCATTTCGAGTATGGGAGTTGGTTGGTTGAGCTGAAAATATTGGACCTGGGAGACTTTGAGATTTTTCCTCCTGTTGAATTCGAAACAATTGCAGCTCTTCTAGACGAGGTGTGACCTAAGAGATACAAATTTAAATGCTTAAAGCTCATACTGAAACCTACGAAGCATTGGATGTCGACATGTGAGGGCATGATAAGTAGAATCGCCTATATTCAACTACTTATAACTATAGCACCATCTCATAAATTGGCACAATATAAAACAAAGGCCATTGTTCTTCTCATTTCAAAATCCTTTTTACAAAATAATTGTAAAAAGGAACGAAGAGATCTCAACTAAAAATGCATTAAGCAATGGGAAAGTATAAATGAGACCATTTACCTTTGGTACAAGGTGGTCACATTAATCTTGACCATTGGATGTGAAATTGGATACCTACAATTATTCCATTGACGAAGCTCAAACTTCAAAAGAAATTTTCTCGAACTTTGTGACACATCCAAGCTATCAAATTTCACATCGGATGGTTGTAAGTAATTGTGACTACCTTGTATTAAAGGTAAATGGTCTTATTGTTTACAATCCCTTAAGAAATATGTACAAATCTAGTTGTTCACTATGGTACAACAGATGGAAACACATGCATTAGTTTTGAAAACAATAATAGAGCGAAATTTACAACCATGCGGATATTAATAGATACTTATTCCCCTTTGCTCTGAAATTTAAGGTATCCAGTTGCAGTAACAATGAGAAGATCACTACAAAAAGCAAGTAAACCAGAAAAAATTTATTGCTTACAACACCTAATGCTCAGAAATGCAAACCACAAATGTTCAATTACAAAAGTACCTTCTTGATAGCATGGTCCAAATCTTCCAAGTTTCCAAACTCTCTTTCAAATCGCAACCACGAATGGCAGATCTCCTGAATGATTCTGTGTTTTAGCATAAGGGGCGTATTATCTAATCCACAATCTACCATTTAACATAGTGCTTGACTTCTATCAAATAGACGAACAAAAAAAAGTAAACAACAAATCATTTACAAGTGTACAACTTTTCATGGATGCATGACATATGTGCTTATAGGTATAGGTAACACCAACGTTTAGATTTTGAACTAGAAAAAAACGATGTTTTCTCAACATTTAGATATCAACATCCATGCGGCTAATTCTATCCCTAAATCAACATACAATGATATGCTATACACAGATATGCAATTTTTGCAAGAAAAAGAATCACTTCAATGTTACCTGCAAAAAACAATGAATATCAATCAACAGTACAGATGCGGCTCATGATTCTATCAACATTCTTTACGCGCTTCAATGCCACGATTAGGATTTATTCAATGTTCCACTGAAACCTTATTGTACTGATCACAAAGAGCAATGAAAAATTGAACCGCAACAAAGGATTCATTGACATATTATGTGATAAAGATTAGTTGCACAGACCTCATTTAATCCCACAATTTGGAAACAAAGCTTCCAGAAATGACGCTGGTACTAGATCACCAGATTCGAAAGTTCAAAACCATGGCAGAATTTCTGTAGTACTTTGGTATTGAGACCAGATAAGATATTTGTAGGTCACACACAATAAAGTCCCAAGATATGTCACTTTAGATGGATCCAATATGCTATCAGCATGTGAGAGCTTCAGTAAATCGTAAATTAACAGAATGAAAGAACTAACCATGGAAAAAGTATATAAATGATGGAATATGGAAAAAATTGATTTATAGCTTGAAAAACAGAAAAATTCAAAACAAGGGGAAAATAGAGGAATAATACAGCAACAACCCCAAATGAGGTCGTCCAACAAAAATACAGGTCTGAAAATTATGATGGTTCCCAAAGAGCAACGCCAACTCCGACATGTCAAGTGCTTGGAAAGAAGCATTCTCCACCTTCACCCCTTTTCAATTGCACCATACCTGCTACCAAAATCAGGTAACAGACCCAGCTTTTGGAAAGAAATTAGGATAAGGGAATCAAGCTTTCAAAATCAGTTTGCATCCCTGTTAACAACCTGTGCAAATGAAAATCGCAGTATAGCCGATATCATGGAACTCCTAGAAGGCTCTATGGTTTGGCCGTCCCATATTTAGAAGAGACCTTAAGGACAATGAACGGCCTGTCCTCGAGCAATTGCTCTCCTCCTTGCAGGCTTTCTTCCTACCTGGTCAAGGACATGATTACCTATAGTGCCACTACGAAGAATTTCCAGGAGTTATGAAGGAAGCTTTGGGCCCAATATTGGTCATGGGTTGAGAATGGGAATCGCACTCTATGAGATCTAATATCCCATTGTTTCTCAGTAGCTCAGTGGTAGAGTGGCTGGCTGTTAACTGACTACTCGTAGGTTCGAATCCTACTTGGGGAAATTTGATTCATTGAAGGGATCACTTTGACAGTAAGGAGTAGGTAACCCGTTCCCCGGCCTTGTTTCTATTCCATTCTATCTCATTGCATCACATTCTGCGATATTTGAGAATCACTGCCAAGCAATACCTTGGTGTACATCTTTGGAAATCCTTTGTTTTCACTTCGCCAGGCATTTTAGTGTGACATCTTTCTACTCTGTCATACGAGAAGAACCCATGGCCTAATCAATCACACCACCAAGACTAGGTTCCCTCCAGAGCCAAATTTTTGGATGGCTGGCCTTACATAAGAGTGTAAGCCAATCCTCACAGTGGATCAGCTAATTAAAACGAGGCCTTGCTATGCCGAATCACAGTACCTTTGCACGGAGAGTAAAGAGTCAGTCAACCATATCTTCTCCGCTGTCCAACTGCGACGCATATCTGGGAATGTCTACTGCAAGTGTTTATAGATGAATGGGTGATTCCAGGAAGAGTGCAACAACTTTTCTGGCCTACTTCTCCCTCCCCCTTCTGACGGCTGGTTTAATCCTTTGGAGGGCTTCTGTAACTGGCCCTCTAATGGAACATCTGGGTGGAGCAAGGAGGCTGATTTTAGGAGGCAGAGAAAAATCTACACACTCGGTGAGGGATGGAATTAAGACTGCTCTAATTGAATGGGCAAAACAGTCAAGATATTCAGGGATATGCCACCTCAGACTTCCTCCTAAATTGGGAAGCCCTTGATAGAACCAACAGAACAACCATCACTAGGTCGTCTCTTTGGTCAGTCCCAGAGCCAGGCACCATCAAACTCGATGTTGATGGGTTTTTCTTTTTTAATCCTGGTAGGGCACATGCCGGAGGCATCTTTAGGGACAACATTGGCACCACAATCTTGTCATTCTCAGCGCCTACTGGCGTCGGTATCTCATATGACGCCAAAGCACGTTCCTCATCACAAGGACTTAAATTTTGCGACTGGGACAACTCACTAGGGGTTGAAGGCGGCTCTAAAAACACCATCAAGTGGGTTAATAAGAAATCTGTCCATGGAGACTAGACCAAATACTGGGTGAAATTTTGCACCAAGTGCACTGCTCAACATCTAATTTCAGCATGTTTCGTGGTGAAGCCAATGGCTGTATGGCCTCGTAAAACAGGGGGACATCAGCAATACTCTTACGCTCAATCACCCATAGCAGGTTAGACTGAACATAATTTCATACAGCAGCTCTTGATGTTCACTATTTTTGATCCAGCACATTTATTTCTGGAATTTGGGAGGTGAGCCACCCTCTTTTGTACTTTGTACATGGTCATGTGCATATGACTAATATGTACCTTCCATTCGCTTATAATAACTTCAGAGTCAAGTTCATCAAAAAAGGAGCATACAGTAAGTAAAATTCACAAATCATCATAGAAACATAAAAATTGTATAGAAACATATTTATGCATCATTCATTATGGATTTAGTAACATAATAAATTAATTTCTTAAGAGTTTTTTACATTGCTGATTCTGGAAATCATACTCACCTCAACAGGGTGACGAGCGGAGTAAAAATCGACTCGGCCGAGTTTTCGAACACTGTCTATGAGTGGAATATAAATGGCTAGACTAAGGTATAACCCCGCTTAGCTGGTTGAGGTGGACAACTGGTAAAATCAAAATTAAAAAAAAAAAAAAATTCAACGAAGTGTAACTCAGATTAACCACCAAATAATTGCCAACAAATATTTTTTGTTTCCGTCCTACAAAGCAACCAGTAATTTGTGCAACTAATGTCGCATCTTAAGCCTACATAAGATCTAAGTATTGAGTGCATGAAAACTTGACATGCAACCTTACTAATAGTTTTTGATGGATTGGCCTAAAAATATGGAAGCAGATCTAAGTAATAAGAAATGAAACTAATGCCCAAGATAACAGGGGCAGCAGAAACTACTTAGCAGTAATAGTCAGTTTTCTACAATGTAGAGCAGTACTGTCATACTCAAAACAAATAAATAAATAAAAGTACGAGCAGAAGTTGAAATCACATTATTAGACATAACCGCATCAACTAATAATACCAGTAAGGTATGACTATAAAATTTAAGCACTATGAGAAGAATACATCCATCAAAAGAAAGATGATTGCAGAAAAGCAGTCCATAAACATGATAAGGAATGTTTAAAAATTAATGGTATGGATTAGAAGCATACCTCTGAGCCATACCCTTGAAACCGTTTACTGTAGCATCTTTTGTAAATGAACCTTGCCTCGTGTATATTATTCAACTCGATTTCCATATTTATGTAACCTTGCCAGACCTCCAATGCTGAGCCACTATAAAAAATACATGATAATAACCACAGTAAAGAACAGGCCTGAAGATGAAATTTTTCCATGTAACTAATTCTTAAGTGCAATCTTCAATATTGTGAGATGAACAAACCAACCTTGTCTTAATTAAACTCTCCCAAACACTACGAGCTGCGCCCTGATCTTTTAGAAGCCTAGACTCTAGTCTAGCCCAATAAGCATGCAATCGCAGCAAGTAATCCATATATGTGGTCATCGTCTCTGGAGACAACTGTTGAGATAAATAATCCCTAGCACGCTGCAAGAAGCAGTCAGGATCTTGCTTAGATTTGACAATTCCAATATTAAATTTCAAAAGGCATGTCATATTTATTGAAGCCCAAACACATGTAACAAAACTATAGGAATGCTATAAAACTGTTACGACCTAAGTAATAAAACCACACCATAGGGCAAGTCATACACATTTCAGTTGTTGAACTGTCTGGGACATGGCGATATTATTGGATATAAAAAGAATTTGATTTACATACATCTCCAGATTCATGGTCTATGATCATTTCTTAAAGATCAATTAAAATAGCAACAATTAACAACCAAAAGGAAGGCAGATCAAGCCAGAATCCACAGATATCTGTCGTGGATAGCAAATTAGTGATTTTTGCACAGCCTATTGGTGTGTGAGATTCTATTGAAGCCCTTCTAACATCCCAAAAATCCTTCTTGCATTTTTTTTCAGGTCACTTGATTGTGGAAGGTAATTCGCTTGGCATCATTAGATGGGTTCAGCAGAGACGGATAATCCATGGACATCAGCCAATATCTTTTTATTTAGAAACCAGGAGATTAGCCAGTATCATGGCAGAGATTTCAAAGAAGAATGAGCATCTATCACCTAATTCCAAATGACGAAAGAAGCTACTTGCAAGAGTGATTCTCACACATGAAAAGGGATGGGGTAAGTGGGTACTCTAAATTAGGGAATCTTTTTCCTCCCACATTATAGCGACAAAAATGCCTATGGATCACATGTAAGAGGACCAAGACGCAAGAGTGGTTGGATCAAGGGGCAAATTTCTAGAGTGAATAACCAAGGAATCAGAAAGACCACACTGACAGTCAAACACACCATCCTATACAAGGTTCTTGAAATTTAGTGTACCCCAAACTTTATATTTATTTTCTATTCTTTTCATTTTTTATTTTTATTTTTGGGGTTGCACACTCACATACATGGACAGTTAATTACAATGGAGACCAATGATCCTTTATGTACTTCTATTAAAGGCGTTCTCTCCCATTGGCTTGTCATTGGAAGAAAAACTGCCAGCAAGTGAGTCACAAATTCTCCACAAGTAATAAGCTTCCTGCTACGCCAATAAATGAAGTTCCATTCTAGGAAAAGAAAGCGTGAAAGATCTATGAGAGTGCAGCCTTCACTTCTTTGCTCACTGCTGTTCTTGCTCCCAGAGAGAATCTGCAGATGTCTCAGACTTTCAATAGTCACAGGTTTGAGAGAGAAGTAAGCGAAGTTGTAAGAATGGAAATTGTGGCAAACAACGATGGGTCGCAGTAAAGAAAGCATAACAATTTGGAGGGATATTTATGGGAATCGGGAGAAAGAGAGCAGCAATGAAACCAGCCAATGAGAAAAAAAATTAAATTTTAAGCTAAAGGGAAACGAATTGGACGTTGAGTCCATGGCCCAGTGTGGATCTCAGTTGAAGTTCAAGTAGGAATATAGGCTCGTTTGAATCAAGGCCATTACCTCAACATTGATTTGATGGGAAAGGGCTGGAGCAACCACCAAGGAATTGATGTGGGTAAATGGAAGTTCTTTGAAAACCTGCAACATGTAAGCAACCCTCCTGAATGGAAACATTTAGGTACAAGGCTCACGGGATTATTGGACAAGTATAATAGATGTCTAATGTGAAGGAAATGAGGAGTCATGGAGAGGACCAAGGAAACGGGAAAACACAACCAAACCCTAAAATAAGTGAGAAAAAGAGAACATGGTTGATAAGATGATAACCTGGAAGTTTATTATCCTTCGAGAAGCATGAGTGGGAGAAATGGTTTATGAGACTAAGATTGGACACTGATGAACTGGTGATTATTTCTTTTGTGGAGAAAAATCCAAGTATTACCAACAACAACAATACCACTGGAAACAACAAGACTTCAGTAGGTGGGAAAAGCAAAGATGTGTAAAAAGGGGTAAGCAATCATGGAAACAAAAGAAAATGACACTACAGGATTTGATAGATTAATGTGAATGATACGAGTCAGAAAGTCCGGGGAAAAAATGCAAATGCAAAGGTTCAGGAGAACATCGCTTGTGAAATTATACCCTGAATATTGGAAGTTTAGGAGAATACAAATGAAGGATGAATAGGATAGCATATAGTCATTGTCAAATTGGACAAGATCTAATGCCACATAGACGACACTACAATTTGTAGGGGTGTAGAGGAAGTGAATTTTCAAATGTGCAGATAGAACTTGAGTTCTGCGTGATCCATCTGTACTTCAACATGCAGTTAGAACTAGAGTTGTACATGATCCATCTGGACTTCCAGTGAACATTTCTTTGCACCAATACAAAATGAAAGGGGTGAGGACACCTCCACAGCCACAAGCCCAAATTGTATTAGTATCTCTGCAAGAAAAAAGATGAATCGTCATAACACATTGAAAGAAGTTCCTTGGAATTGGGATGGTTCCTGGTGTCTGAGGGGTTCCCAGTGTCACCCTTGACCTTCATTTTCAGATGAAAAACAAGGCAGGCATTCAGGCCTGTATGATTTTTCACTGCCAGCAGGAAGGCATTGCCACAAATTTTGAGTTGGATTTATTTAGCGCACGAATTATTAGCGAAGGCAACAAAGTCAGCATCAGCATCACACACTAACACGCTGAAAAGTGGGTAACATGAAACCAAGAAGAGTCATTCAATCAAGTTCCAGTTAAAATGAAGAAGAGCAGTCTAATCAAATCTTGCACCAGGGTAAGAAACTCCTAGAATTCTTTACAACGAAAATATTTCCTTTCTTATGATAATTACTCAGCATGCAAATGTTATTATTTATATCTTAACTGAAGACCACCAACAACAGAGAAACAACTTCAAGTGACTAATGACAAGAATAAACCTAAACACAAAAATAAATAGAAGAATGTCATTTAATCAAATGAACTGCATAAGCTCACTAGAAATTGTCAAAGCATACCTGAAAAGTGTCTCTAATTAAAGCATAGTAGGTCTCAGCATCAGTTGTACCAAGCTGTAGAATCCTCCGTCTTAACCCATCAATGCGAGTGAGAAACAAATCTAGATACTGGGTACACAAGATACGCATAGAATGTCAAAGTCACCAATTCCGCACACAAAGGCAGGGGAACGAAACAATTTACAGAAAGAAATCATTTTAGGGAAATATGCGCAATTTATAGAGGGAACCTATGATAAACAACAGAAACTGAAAGGACAAATTCCAAACAAGGACAAATCCATGATACTCACAGAAAATACAATTTCAGGACTCACCAAGACAGTCTGGTGCTAATGCAATACAACAAGAAACCTTTTACCAATAAAAGTAATACAGAATAGAACATGGATTCCATTAAAAGGGAGAAGTCTTTGTCAAAATAAGACTGACCAAATAAGATTGGTCACATCAGTTGATAACTCTCCTCAGCCCATCAACTGTTGGGACTTCAAACCCAATATTGCTATCTGGCCTGAGAAATTCAATAATCTAATAGGAGAAGGGGTGCCAATTGGATCGGTTCAACCCACCGGGTCCCGATCAAATGACTTGGACTGGACCCCACCCCTTTCAGATTGGGTCGGGCCCTCGGGTTGACCCGACCTGGTAGAAAGTATATAAAATATGTAAATTACATTTACTAAATAATAAGTAAAGTAACTTTTTTATTTTTTTGAATTTCTAGACCCGGGTAGGGGTCGGGTACTGGACACAACCCAACCCGACCCGTTAACACCGCTGACCCTGAATAGGAGCATTTTTAAGCCTTTTGCTTTCCATTACTAGCCAAGCTACCTCATATTTAAAACCAATGGAAAAAAATTTCTGAAAGATGGAGAGAGAACAATGCTTCAATATCAAATCTAAGATTCCAACCTTCAAATCTTGACAGGCATCATACTTATGAGTAGTGACTTGGCCATATTTTGGTTTCCAATTTTCTTTCATCTTCATGATTTTTATTTTTTCTGACAATCTGTCCTGACAAATTTAAATAAAAGTACATCTCACCAATTTCAGCTTACATAGTAAGTTTACATATAAAGATGGAAGTAACCCACCTGTAGACATATAGGCAGGACCATATTATAAGGATGTGTGAATGTCCAACCAACTGTTTCTCTTTCAGGAGCTGCATGAGCGCCTTTGTTCATGTCACTGTAATATAAATATATGGACCATTTTTTCTTGGTTTCCTGATGTCAATAGAAATGTGAGCAAGTTCAACCATCATCATCATCCAAGCCTAATCCCAATTATTTGGGGTCGGCTAAAAAACTGAGTGTAAGGGCATGATTAGATGGGAAATAGAAGTAAGATTAATAAGTAGGGGAGGCATAAGTACCCTTAATTCCGAGGAAATGTTAAGTAGCAAAGAAAGCTACTGTCAGGAATAAGGATAGATTAAAGCAATTATCAAGAAGCCTGAGACAGAAATCATGGAGTTGAATAATTTCCTCTCATGAACATATCCATAATTTCCTCTCATAAACATATCCAAAATACAACACAACAGCAGCCAAAGTAAAAACTCCACAAGACCTATTCAGGCCAGCTGGACATTGAGGATGTAGTCATGTACCAGGACAAATTTGGGTTCCTCAAACTTCTTCAGTGCCATTGTTCCATCATATTCTTGGTCTGAGTCAACATTGTAGAAAATGTACATCGGTGGTGGGAACTTAGAATCAATGCTCATTTCCTTAGGAATTAAAGTAACGGAAATTCCTATTACAATGAAAGGAACATATTAGGCTTTTGCAAGGTGCCTATGTATATCACTTATTACTACATACAACATACATTCAAGACATTCAAGCATATTCCGGAATTCGATTCCCCATAGTTTATAAATGATGCTTTCATATTCACCATTTGGTGGAAGAGACATGGTACTGGGGATGTTAATTTCAATTTTTTGAAGTTATCCCTTAGAACTCTTTTGACTGATTGCTTGCTATCTTGTTTTCAACCTCTGATTTCTCTCCAGCCAAATGACCCATATGGTCGTAGGGAGTAAGACTTTCTGAATTTTGCCAAGAAATTTATTCATGAATTTCTTTTTGAACCAATTTGCAAGGAGACTTGGGATGCTTGGACAGGCTATTGAATTAATATTGAATCTCCACAATATGATTGTGTACATGTCACTCGCAAATTTGCATGAGATGAATAGTGGTCATGGGTCTCACTATTGGCCATACAAATGTGACATATGCTAGACCCATCTTTACACTCTAACCATTGTAACTAGCCTCTTTTGGGAGGCTAACCATGAGAACAAAGAGGCCCTAGGTTGTATCAATTGTTTGTACAGCCACTAGGGTATTGTTTGTTCCCACTTGTTCTTTGATCACTTCATGTCCACTATTTGAAATAAAATCATCATTATTATTTGGAGCAATAGTTACAGAGATTGGGGGGGAGGTCAGATCTTGGATCGGGATCCATACACCGTGAGTTAAAGGGATCGTGATCCCAATATGAAGGGAGTATGATCCAACTGTGCCCAAGATCGAATGATAAAGTATATGGGATCAAGGTCCGTCCAACTTAGAATCGAGGCTCCCCAAGAGTACTTAACTAGGGAACTCTAGCTCAGGAATGAAGTTCGCTGAACAATACAATTAATGTTTTTTCTAAATTGAAAAACCACAGTATCATTGAATACAAAGAATCCCGTTTTAAAATATTTTGTAATTTTTTGTTATCATTGGAGTGTATTCTATAAGTGAGAAGTGAATCTGAAAACCCAAAATGAGGATTCAAATTTCAATCGTTAGGCATGAAAAGAGCTTTAGTTTTTAATGTTGGCGATCCAGACACAACAACTCAAATATGTCGGTGATTCATGCTCCCATTGTAAATGAGCCTCAAAATGCCGATAATATTTGGTACCAATGTTGAAGAAACATGATTCCACATTCGTGGAGGCCCAATTCCACTTACTGATCAAATGAATGGGAGGGATCTAGATCCCATTAGCCATGGATCTAGATCCCCAATTTTGTGGATCAAGATCCCTAATTTCAAAAAATGTCTGGAATCGAGATCCCTTGTGCAGGATTGAGCTTTCGAAGCTAGAAAGACCACCTTCTTAGGTGATCCTGATAAGAACTCATGTGAGCCTGTCAGCAAATCCATCATCATCTAAGGGCCACTGGATATGGCATATGACTAATGGGAGAGTTTGGAATATGCATTTCCAAGCCCAAGAGTCTATCTACATCTAGCGGTTCCAATATGATGCCTCCAAAGGTATTTATCCCAATTTGTTCCTTTTTCCACTCGCAGATTCCCACCCAAATTTTTCTAGAAAGGACTTGTTTAATGTCCTTAGTTGTTTTGATGCCAAGTCCACCTTCACTCTTATGTTTGCAAATGGTTCTCCATTTTGCGTGGTTCTCTAGGGTGTTGATGGTGGTCGAGGGTAGTTGGAATGCGAGCACCAATGATGTGCAAGTGGGGAGAGGCATGAATCAATAAGGTTTAGTCAACCAAGATAGGAAAAGGTTTTGTTCCAACCTTTGATTTTTGACATGGTTTTCTCAATTAGAGGTTGAAGAAGTTTTGGAGAGAGTTTTCCATTTAATAGTAGCAAAACTAGGTACGCAGAGAGCAGTTCTGATACACTGCATTTTAAGAACTAACTGCAGTTCAAGGAACCAAAGAAGAAAATGTTTGTTTTGGTGGTTGCCGAGGGATGGGAAGTGATAAAGAGTGTGCTTGAGAGAATGATAAGACAACGAGAAGGCAAATCCACGCATGAACAAACTCAGATATTGATGTAAAAGAACTATGTGTTTGCTCGAACTTAGTGGTGACTCTGGGCAGTGCCCTTGGCATTGTTTGAAGAGTTGGACCGACTCAACTTGATTCGCCTTCAAGCCCTAAGACGAGGCAAGGGGCTAACCAAATTAAAAACACAATTCAAATTAGGCATCCTACATTCAAAGATCAGGCAAGTCAACAATCGAGACATCTGACTTATTTGACTTGTAAAGTCAAACAGCTTTTCCCAAGTCGGGCAATGTTTTTCCAGTTCTTTTGTAATATGATGCGTATTAGATGAAAATATATCACAAAATTATTTATGGGTTTTTCCACAATGAACCATGCTAATGGTGAAATTTTGATTTGTTTTTCTAATTTTGAATGATAGGGGTATTAGAGGTAATTTCTGAACCCATCCTAGGGTAGCAGGAGAGAATCGCAGATGAGAAAATCTCATTTAAAATTCAAAATGCAGTTCCTGAGAGAATGAAGATAACCCTTATTGCTCCTCCCCTACAATTAGGAATAATAAAGGTCAAAATTTTGAAAGTAGGGTTTTCTAATATCTTCATTAGAATGATGTGTTGTAGAAAAACCCATTATTTATATAAAACACATAAATGCACACAATACACAAATTCAATTATGCATACCTATTATGTATTATTATTATGATTAACAAGCAAAACAAGGCAGAAAATATTTGAATTAACTCCTAGCCATTTTTTGCCTTTTAGGAATCATTCCAAGGAAAATGAAAGAGAAAAAAAAATAGACGTTTGACTTCCCAAAATCACAAGCATGTAGTTACATGCTGGCTCCTGGTTCAACTTTGCCTTTTTAAGATTTTGATCCTACATCCCTATAATCTATAACAAATTACTGGGTTGCTTTACTCAGCAGTAACCAAATAAAAAATATAAAACGTTCAATAACACCCAAATTTTTTAAAGAAGAAACACTTTGCATACAAGGTACCACTAAACCAGTCCAATAACCAACCAAGGAATTGAAAACAGTAGATGAAAACATCTCATTACCTCTTCAATAGTTGAAAAAGAGCACTGCAAAGACTGCTCAAAAACCTGAAATTAGCCCAGTTCCAAGATTAGATTCTGAACCACAGTTTTTTTCCCAATAAGAAAGAAAAGTCAGTTGCCTGAATAGATCAAACAAATGACAGTGAAACGCGAGGTGAATGTACCAGTTGAAGCACAGAACAAATGCATTATAGGATGCATAATTTGGTTTTGATATTGAACTAGGCCATACCTCAAAGAATAGATTATTAGAATTAAAAGATATGGTAAGCCCTAAAACTTAAAAAGTTAGCCCAAAGGCCAAAACACCTAGCAAGGGGTATCTTTTTTACCCCATAACTCTCAATCATCTTTATTCATCTCTACAATCAATATCCTAAAACCGAAGCTCAAAGAGTGCTCCAAATAGACTGTCTTTTCCATGGACAACCGGATCTACATTTTTTTCAGCTCAAAATCAAGTTTCTTTATTTTATTTCCTTTTGTTTTATTTTATTGTGAATCTCTCAAAAGGCGAAGGATTGATTATTTCAAAAAAATTAGGTCTATGAAATGCCCCTACCTAGGTTTATGCCCTTTGGCCAACTTGTAGAGCTTTGGTTCAGCAACTTACCAAATATTTCCCTCAGCATCATAACTTTAAATCCCATCAAGATGATTCTTATCATCAATTAAGTGCTCTAAAACAATCAAGTACACAATAAAAGAAATGCAAGTGTAAAATAACGTACTAAAGCAATATTCCTTCCTACAACAAAGGAGAAGTTCAACTACACCCTTTAGTATGAGACCAAGTATATAACCCAGGAGTCAAATGGTGACCAAAAATAAATAAATAATATGGGTCATTGGGTTTTGCATCTCTTGATCATTAAAGACAGTTCAGTTTCCAAAAAAACTACATGTTATGTCACTGTTATGTGATGAAAGTTGCGGATCATGAACTGCGAAAGCAAAATAAATTTCAACAAGTAACACATATTCAAGGGCATCGACATACTCACACTGCACAACTCTTCTTCTGAGGCACCAAAGCGTTCTAAAGCAAGCAAGCATCTGGTCCAAAGTTCTCCTTTCCAAGTACAGTTTCTTATGGTCCTAGAATAAACAGATTTTATGATACTAGATACCTGCATCAAACAAAAAGAAATCAATACTGATATAAATCATGGAACCCATTTTCAAACATTTTGAAGGAATCACCTTCAAGCTTTTGTCAAGATAGCTGGTATAGCCAAGCCAAAGATCACTTGATATTGGAAAGTCTGCAATAGCACGTTCATATAGAAGCTGGACTCGAATTGGATCACCTGAAGACTCCTCAAATTTTATGTAAGCCTGCGGTGGAAACATAATTTTATGTAAGACTGCAATGGAAAGATAAAATTTACTACTAGGACATGTTGAATAAAACTGGACAAAACAAGCATCTCTAAATCACAAACAAGCACACGTGGCAGGATACTCTAAACATTTCATATTGACATAACAAAGGAACAGATTTGTCATAGCAGAAAGGTGGTGATGTTATACTTTACCACCGAACCATCAACATAAGCATACAAAAAATAAAAATCGCTGCATGCAAACTCAAAATGACTACTGCAAAAGTTAAGTACATGGCCCTAGAGAAATAAAAATGTCATCTTTTTCGTATTCAAACTCCGCAGCTGACTCAAACAAATAAATACAGAAATAATGCCAAATTAAATGAACACCAGCTAGAGCGTCCTTTGCGCAAAACTGGAGTCTGCCCCACTTAACCCTACTCTAAACATAAAGTATCTTCATAATCAAGTTAACAGCATCTATCAAATAACTTGTTTTCTCCTGGTTTAACCAGGCAAGTGGTTGCAATGGAAGTTCTAGAAGAAACGTAACAATAGATACCCTGTTTTGCTTCACAAATATATCAATCTTTCCAGGATCAGGTGTCTACAGAATGCTAGATTTAACTTATATACCACAAAACTAAGGAACAGCTTTGGTAATTCTGCATATCACTATCACTGATCATTGAGTTCTAAGAGCACACATGTGCATGACACCCAAAACATGACCATTGTCCACGATCAGGTGTCTACAGTACACTAGAATCAACTTATATACCAAAAACCTAAAGAACAGCTTTGGTAGTTTTGCATATCACCATCACTGATCCTTGTGTTCTAAGAGCACAGATGTGGGTGACACCCGAAACATGACCAATATCCTCCATCAGCGAAGGTACAACTCTTCCCTGTACTCTGCGGAGACCCACCAGAACATTGTTATGCTAAAAATAGTAAGAGCGCCCCATGACATTCTAAAGAATGAGAAAGCAACCTAACAACCACACAATAGAGGAAGGGCTACATACCATTCAAAATTCCAGAAGGGAATGCAAAAACATCAACTGCTACCCCACTGAAGGCTTTTAGGCCCCAATCCCTTCTTTGACAAGCCCATGTTGCTCCATTCAAGACCAAAGTCTAAGGCGTAAGTGCACCCAAACAACCCAAGATCATTAAGAGCAAACCCAGGTCCAAGAGTGACAACAAAGGGACATCATCTATCTTTTTTTTCTGAAGAAAAGGCTAACTGGGACATCATCTATCTTCACTAGTCCATTGCACTAACTCTGATTTTAATTCCAACCTGGGAAAGGTTCAAAGTTCAAGCACGCTACTGTGACATGAACCGGAGACACCACCTTGATGGTAGTCATCATAAGTTGTGACCCCTCATAGTTAAGCTGTACAGCAGTACAGGAGAGTATCCATTTTAAGGGAGATAGACTATTGACTTGAAACTAGTCAAGTGACTCAAAGTCATATTTGTTAAAAAATAACTTCCTATGGATGAGACACTGCAGAATTCCATCAGAACCTCAAACAGTTAAAAGAAGCATGTGAGGCATAATCCGGTTTTTTTTTTTTTTGGATGGGGGGGGGAAGGGAGGTCGCTAACATGGCAGACCCCACATGAAATCCAAATAATAGACTTTATGATTTTCTCACCTTGAAAGTGGATAAAAGTAGAAGACCAGATCACTCATTTTGGCCTAGAAAACTTGCTTATCAAATTTGAACTTTACACATAGGACATATGAGCAAATCAAAACGCCAAACAGTGATACGGCAACATATTGGCTTGATAAAATTATGTAAAACAAAGCATAACTAGAAAAATTTACACCAACCATATTCAAAAAAAAATTATTACATATTCAAAAAAAATAGAAAAAATTACCCCCAGTACAAACAAAACATAGAGACAATCTGTAAAAGGATGAAAAAAATGAAAAGAATCTATCACTAAACAATAACCAACTTATAAATATATAAAACTTGGTTTTCATTTCGGTAACATCAAACAAAAACAAGTCTCCATATCAAAAAGATTAACAAACTATGACACTTGGATCATTACCATAGAGACTAAATTGAAACCCAAAGGCAACAATGACAAAGAAACTTAGAACCAATATTTAATTGAAATACACATGCACAGCCACCAACACCAGCCCTAAATAGGAAGATGCAGCTACAGCCAAGTATGTTAATTCAAAAATCCGTATCTAAGAGGGCAAAAGAAATTTATGTTACCAAAAAGTGGTGAAGCTTCTCTTCAGCAGAAGTGTTCTGACTTGAAATCAACTCCTCATGACGAATACGAGCATTACACATCTGCAGAGCCTTCTGATATGCTGCAGCAACATTTGGAGGAATCCATTCAAGATCATCAGAAACATTTTCTCCTTGTTGCATCTCCCAAAGCTTGTATTCATCAAGCACCAAACCTAAGCCAGTGAGTGGGACGGCTAACTGACGGCGGAATATACTTCGGATGCGTTCCACTTGTTTAGCTTTTTCCTGCATATAAATTAGATAAACCAATAGCATGTAAGCAACTGTTTAGCCAACCAATAATTGGGTAAACAACAGTCTGTTTCACGAACAACAGTAAGCTTCCTCCAATTCATAAAAAACTTCAGACTTTGGAAAATACTTCCAATAATTTAATAAGTTGCTGCTTTAACTCCAAGGATAGAAAATTTGAATATCCTTATTAGGTATTCAGGTAATAATTTGTCCTGTCATTTGATTGTTTGTATTCTTGAAATATACATTGGCAAGAAGTGAAGGATGTAGATTTCTTACACAAATTAACATGCGACATGTAGAGATCCACACAAATATGTCTTGACACTAAGTACAACATTATTCAAGCATCAAAACACATCAAAAGAATGCCTTCCTAGATGCATGAGGAACTTTGAAAAAAAAATGTAAGAAACCATATTCTAAATGGTGATTTGTAAGCTTGAACAAATAGTACCAACTCACCTCTACATCATGGTCATCAATAATAAGGTGATAAGCTTGCTCAAACTCCCGATATGCGCCCCATATCTTGCTGCCTTCAGCAACATGAAGACCAGCTGCAACAAGGGCTTTCTCAAACAGAGTCCTCATCTTTGCCACACCAGCTGATGTACATTGGCTGACTGATGGATCATTCTCTTGAATGAAATTCAAATAATCACACCAAAGAGAAACAGACTGCACAGAATTCACAGCCGTAATGTATTATATAGAAATGCTTCTTAGTGCTTGTACTTTATTAAATTCCATATTTTTCAAAAATAATCAACCCAAAAGCAACATATTTTTATAACCTCAAAACCTACCAAATATTCCTCCACTCCTTGTTCATATATCTTTTCAACTAGAGCAAAAGCCTCTGAACTGCACCGGAAATAAAGAAATCATGTTCCTACCAAATGCCATAACACATTTTTTCCAAATTCAATACAAAATGATAAAAATAGATACCAAGGAAGTTAAGCCAATCAATAAAACAAAATGAGAAAACTTAAACCCAGAACACACTTCAGGTATGCCCTAAGCTGAGAGAATCGTAGGAATGACATTTCAGTAGAAATAACAAACTTAACATACAAAAAAAAAAAACTTAATGATTGAAGCACTGCTCTTCAATTGTTTCTAATCACTACTAATTGAGGTGACAAATGTAGAACGGGGCTGCGCCACAGATAGAGGGAAATTATATGGGAGTAGGAAGCCCCTTGGTGCATATCTGCCATATTATGAAATTTTCAAGTTGTTTATTCCAGAGTTCAGTGTAATCAATCCAATGAAAGCAAAAATATTCTTAAGATATAAGTTTCCTATCATGCAATGATGAATGTTTACAGGATGGTGGCCACAGCTTCCGTACTAAGCCTTGGCCGAGTTATATTAGAATTGGCTGACACTAGGTCATTCCCTCTAATTTTGGAATAACTGCTTTGAGTCCTTTTAAGATTCGAAACATACAATAACAGATGACTCCAATTGAGAGTCCATAGTTTTTGACTTTGATAGAACCCCCTTAAAGCAAGATTTGCTTCCCCTGAGCATCTCTATTTCTGCTGCACCAGAAAAGTAAAGGATGCATGATATCTATGAAATCACAAATCAAACATCATTAAAGACATTAGCGCATCAACAAAACGCACAGACAAGTGAATCATGCCTAAATGATCTGAGCATCTGACTAATTCAACATGTGGCTATCGAGAATAACAGTATCCCAGGAACCTCTACAAACTTGTTCTTTTGCTTTTGCTTTTTTCGATAAGTAACGATGACATGCAATCAAGATAATAAATCAAAAACAATCAACAGGGCATCTTTCCAAAACTATTAGAAAACACAAGCAGACCAGATGGCAAATGAAAGAAGTGATTGCCCATTCAAATGCATAAGACAATTCCATTCAAAAAATTAAAGCAACCGTAAACAAAACTCTTAGAATAAGCACCCATAAACAAAACTTTTACAAGAAAATGAAAACTTCAAAAGGAATAACTGTTTAAGAAAAAACGCTATACTTACCCAGTATTGAGTGAAGCTTCATCCTTCGCCCACTCTTGCCACATTGTAGGAGTCAGTGGAAAATATCTTTGCATAGATTCCCTAGCCTCTCGAAGCTTCTCAATATGACCAACTTTCCTTAAGGCTTTTATGTACTGGTATATGAAGCATCACATGCCCATATCAAGCAAACAACACAGTAATAAAACTCGTTTTCCATAAAATCATACCACTCATATTAACCATCCAGCCATGGCAAAGCAAGACACTATGGAAATTACACATAAAGAATGAAAATGCACCACGAATTCAATTGCAACACATTTTGAAGGGAGACAGAAAAAAATGTAGTCATTTCTTCTTTTTCTTCTCGGTGCAAGATGACAATATCGATGACACCATGCCACATGACATGGCAGATGAGTGGTTTAAGCTCTTTTTTTTTTTTTTTCCCCATCTTTGTAATCTTTTACTTCAAGCATTTCATACATATTTTGTGAGGAGTAAAGTGAAGCGGAAATAAATATCTACGCATTTCCATTAAGATTTTGAGTACTCTGTCCCACCTCTGCAAAACAAAGTCAGTCAAAGCGTACTCAACCACAGTTATGAAGCACTCATCCTTCATTGAAATAGCACTAGTTAAACTAAAATAATTAGAAATGCTGAACTTGGTTATAGGACTAGACAGATTCCTCAAACCGAATCGAATTTGCAGCAAGTGGGATAATTATCCACATGCAACTAAAAAAAGTTAAAACAATATTGAGATCCAATTTACAGGAGTTTGTAATATTTTTTATTCTTTTAAACTTATTTTTCAACAATTATGTTTCCCTTTCCATAACTATTATGTAGTACTACACTAAAGATATCTGCCAAATGCGCATTTCAATTAGGTCACTGAATCCATTTTAAAAGTCAGATACCTGAAAAATGTATATTTTGAGTACTAGTTAATTTTCATTAATTCACAGTCAAAGTGTTTCTCATATAATCTTACCAGCAGTTAAAAATCTCGCAAATTTGTAGACTTTGGAGCACTAGCTGCTGTAACTACGAAATCCATGAATAGCTAACTACTTGTGCAAGTGAATTCATCAAACAAAAAATGCTTGAAAATACAGCAAAAGCAGTAGAGGAATACCTGAACATGAGAATCGTATTCTCTAGGGTTTTCTGCGACTGCTTTTTCAAGGGTTTCCAGTACTTTCTCCTTATCTTCTTCTTCCGACTCTGAATCAGAACTAGAGCTCTTTCTTCCATGTTCTTCAGATGAAAGGTCATCTGCATCCTCAAAATCCTCATATGCGTACTGAGATGGATCAATTTGTTTTGTTTCCAGGGTTTCACCGATTGAGGAAAGGTTAGGGTTTACGGTTTCGCCATTTGATGGAGAAACAGGAGACGCCATTCTCCAAGCACATAAAACACTCTGATGGTAAATGGGGTTTAAAAGAGACCGACTTTTGGCAATCTGCACTTCTATTAAGCAAAAATTACATACAACTCCCTTCACTGCAGTTTTTGTGCAGGGGACCCCAGTATTTTGCTTTTACACCGGGAATTTATCGCTAATACTAATTTAGTTTTCAAAAAATATATATTTATATTATATAAGTGTGAAGCTCTCAACCAGCGTTTTAAAAAACGCCGAGTCGACTCGGAATTCGCGAAAAGGGACCGGATCGGTTGAAAAATCAGAAATCGTCCGGTTCTAGAGAGAACCGAACGATTCCGCACAGCGACTGGCCGATTCACTGTACGGAATCGGCGAGTCCGTACGGTTATTTTTTTTTTTTTTTTTTTTTTTTTTTTTTTTTGTAATCCATGATAGATTTTTTTGTAATCCATGATCGAATTGTTTTTGTTTTTTTGTAATCCATGATCGAATTGTTTTTGTTTTTTTGTAATCCATGATCGAATTGTTTTTGTTTTTTTTGTAATCCATGATCGAATTTTTTGGTTTTTTTGTAACCCATA